ATATTAAATACTACGCCGAAATAAGAATTCAAAATCAACCTAGGTGACACGTAAACTAGCTACAGAGTCAACACACAAAAGGCTCTTAACGCGACGGTATAATTAAACAATGATTTCCAAAACAATCAACTGGGAGACGTCCTCGAAAAAGAATGCGCGGTTCAAATTCCAGACCGTATCTCTAATCGGCGCGCGCGCAAAATTCCACGTCACACGAGCAAGTTAAATATTGCAAAATGCACTTCAACACGCAATCACTATATAATTGTTACAATTACTTTCAAACGAAATTACTTTAATCAGTCAAATACAATACAAGCCTCTTGTCACGAACTTAAAACCTAGACAATCTAAACCGAAGCGGTTTTCACGAAACCACAATTACGTAGCGAAGTAACGCGCACAAATTCTAAAAATCTAGACCATAACCCAAAACCCGGTCGCGCGAATCATCTGCAGCGGTCACCGAGATACGCTAATTGACTGCACCGCTGCCCTCGAGCTACTGTCTCTCGCCCTCCAGCGCCAAACGCTGGGAAGTTGCCTTCCGCTACCCCCTCCCTGCGACACGCGTGACACCTGGTACCATCGGGCGATTCGCCAAGTCGAATGTGATTGGATGCCGTCTCAAATGACCAATTTTGGCCTAAACAAGTAGTTGTAATTAAAACTTCTTGGTTCGGAGTGTATTTTAAAGTTATCTTAAAGTTATAACAGCAACTGTAACAATAAAACTTTTCTTAATTTATTAAAGATGCATGTAAATAAAGTATATATATATCATTTTAATTGAATTTTTAATTTTAGGTGACTAGTTTTACTGTGAATGAAAAAATATGAGTATTAATACCTACAAATATGTTAAAGAAACTTGGCCTAAGACTTCCCCCTTATCTTGAGTTTATTTGGACTGATGTAGACTTGTGTAAGTAATGCGATTGTTGCACTACGCGTTATATAACCCGATCACGTACTGTAGCATTACAAATGACTCGACCAAATCAAATATGACACATGACACTTAAACATGACGCGCAGCGCTTTCTTCGGTGTCCGTATTATCTCGTTAATTTTCGCTGTGTGTAAGCGAGAAGGAGCAAGCGGCGGTCGGCTGTGGAAATAAGTGAATTTAGACTTAGAACCGTATTATTCATGTATTAAGGTTAATGTTTTTTTAACAGCGCGGACCGCCTAGTGATCTTTAAATTATGGTTCTCGTACTTTATGACTTTATTACCCAAACATTCACACGCTATTCAATTTTATGTTTTTATGATGCCGTTACTTGTAAAAATGCTAATACCATGTAAATAAAAACAAAACCGTTAGGTATTTAAAAAAAACATAATGTAAAACAAATATAAAAAACCACAATCACTGTAAATAAAATTGATTTTTACATATGCCAATATTCATAGTATTGGTCAATAATCAATATTGCAATCTATGTTTATTGGCAGTCATAAGTCTCGAAATGCCATTTTGATTGAATAGTTCAGTAGATTGGGATAAAGTGTGAAGAAAAATCGGCTTTATGAATATTATAACAAAATCAAGTGTTCATTCTGGCGCAGCGAGTAGCGAGGGCATTGTGTTTGGCAATAGTCACATCACAACGCAAGCATATCTTCTACAACGCGAGCATTTCATTACAATAGCCATCCTCTGTAGTGTCATTTCGCGTCATGTTTCTATACATTTATTTATCTATGGTTTGGAGTCATGGTACCTATAACCGCCTAAGGGTATTAGTGTTCTGTGCCTATATCTGCCTATATCATGAAATGAATCTTCAATTAATTGGGGCATTAGTACATTAGCAACACAAACTACAAAGTTAGGTACTTTAGATGAATTGCAGTAAATTGAGATAATTTTTTTACTGTTTCACAAGTACATTATTTGGTGATTTTAATTTTCCATATCTGGCAATACTAACCTGTCACGGCAGCAACGCTTTCATACAGGTTTTCAAATGGTATAGTTGGGACTTGTACACGTTTCTCTTCTTTCATAAAAGATAAAAGTTTTAGGATAATCTATTGCGCATCACTTTTAAGATTTATTTACTTTTTAAAAACACTCACCTGATAGCTCAGAATAAATAATAGCTGACAGCGAAATGTCATTTACAAAATGGCGGTTTTAGTTCCAATTTTGTCCACCTGAACAGATAAGTTGGTGGCACTATATAACGTAACATTCCTCGGTACTATGGAGTGTAGAGTAAAACAATACTACTTACAGAGTACCTTTGTGTTACCCGAAATTATATATCAATATATTCTATGGTGCGACACGTTTTTTTGTTTTTGTTAATAATAAATCTATTTCGGTTTATACGAAGGTACTCTGTGCTCCTCAAAATGAATAAATTTATTATATATCTATACAAATAAATAAAATTGAAGTGTCTGTTCGTAATGTCAAAATTACAGCTTTTTACTAAATGCATATGAAAGTATATACGGTACTAATAACAAAAACATATTTTTTAATGTTTTTGTCTGTCTGTCTGTCCGTCTGTCTGTCTGTTTGTTCCAGCTAATCTCCGAAACGGCTGGACCGATTTTGACGGGATTTTCACTGGCTTTCCAAGGAGTAACTTAGGCTACTTTTATTTTAGAAAAATCATTGGGGTTCCGCGCAAAAAAATTAAAACCCCAAATAACACGCGGGCGAAGTCGCGGGGAACAGCTAGTTCTATAATATAATTTGTTATGTAATTTATAAATATATTATAGAGTAACCCGGTTATGTTTAATATACGAGTGTACACTAAAAGTGCTACGGTGGAAGCCCATATAAAACTTTTTTAGCGGGAATTTCAAACCTTTGTATTCTGTAACTTTAAACTTTTTATTTAAGGCATATTCGAGTAATTTTGGCTCAAGCCTCACAAAACTATTGGGTAAATTCCCATATACTCGTATTTGAAAGGTTGCACCAAAATTACTCGAATATACTTTAGATTAGTATGTGGTATAAAATAATACTTTATATAAGTATAGTTATGTAATTTTATTTTCTGAAAGACAAATTGTTTTATAAAATATACATTATTATTGATGTTTTTTATTGCTTTTGTACATAATATTTCCACGCTTGTTACTGATGTATTGTCAGAGAGTTATTTTTCACAGAACATTAATGTAAATTTAAATCAGCAAAATTCTCATGATGAAAACTTAACTCAGCCCAAATAAGTGATCTGAAACAGATACAATTTGAGTCAATATAGTAATAATCCCTACAAATAACGGCATATAAATTCAAAATGTTTATAGACTTACCACAATATTGTTATAATTTTTTCTTTTCCTATCATAGGAAACGTGCAGAGAGTGATCAGATGATTTTGTGCTTTTTATTTACACAACATAACTTATTTTCGATGATGATCACAAATCGTGCATAAAACTTTAAAATAATGAATTCATTTATATTAAATATCTTATACAGAGTTAAAATCTCACAAAAAGTCTTTACTGTATATTCACGACGATATATGACTGTGTATTTCACCTACATACGAAATTGAAGTCCATAATAACTGAATTTAAGCAAAAATAAATAATAAATATTAAAAACTAAACCCATGAACTAAATTTTAATAAATTTCAGAAAATATCTTCAATATGAAAGACGTTGACAAACAAATGTTATTTTTTTCTTTTTCTATTAATTCATGGCTTCTTTTGATAGAATTATGCTAATATTAAATAATTAAATTTAAATGAATTAATGGGTAAATTAATTGTGCAAATCTCAGAGTAATATGTATGTAATTATACTTTAAAGAGCAAACTATAAAAATCTTAACACAGAATTAACATTTTTAGTTTCTTCCGATATAATATGAATTTTTCAAATGGCAATCTAAAACAACATGAAGGAAAGAAACAGCGATATTTTTTCTCGCTTTATTTTTACAAGCCCAACACAAACATTGACAAAATCATGATTGTGTGCAGATTTTTCAGCTTTCACTAAACGTAGTGGTTATATTCTCTTTGGCTTTCACTTTCATACAAAGTTGGATCACCCTGAGCCGGACAAACAGACAAAAAATTTAAAAATGGTTTTTTTTTTGTTATTGGTACCGTATGTACTTTCAAATGCATTTAGCAAAAAGCTGTAAGGCCCGCCACATACATACGGAATTCCGTTTCGAGATTCGATTACGAACAGGCACTTCAGTTTTATTTATTTGTATAGAAAAGGATTAGGGTACCACACAAAAAATAATTAAATCGCAGTAAATTCCATATCTCTGCTAGGAGTAAAGTATTCTGTGATTCCATACGGGCGAAGTCGCGAGGGACAGCTAGTCTAAAATATAGATTAAAAAGACAACGTAGGAACTTTAAACGACATAATAGTGATCATAAAATGATAGAAAGATGAAAGGAGGGATAAATTTACTTTTACATAAGGAATCTATTGTTTGAGCATGATTAGGGTTAGGGGGCGTCTATTAAGTACGTAGGCGATTTTACTACCCTCCCCCTGGTGAGATATGACTCGACTGCTCGTCGCGTGTGGCGACATTCGTGGGAGCTTGTGATCCTCAGCATTGATTGGGTACAAAAATATTGATTATTGCATTTAATGTTACATTGAATAAAATGCCGGCCATATAGCTCGAAGAACCGACAACCGATGGGGAAGAGAGGTTCTCGAGTGGCATGGCACCTACGTGCCGGTAGGCGAAGTGTAGGGCTCCCCCCCCCCCCCCTCCACCCCCACAAGATGGAGAGCCGACCACAGAGTACTGGGGACGACCTGGTGAGACATGCAGGAAGTCGATGGATGCAGATGGCTTCAGGACTGTCATTTGTGTCGTTCTATGGGGGAGGCCTATGTTCAACGGTGGACTTGTGAAGGGATGTAATGAATGAATGAATAAAATGCAGGTTAAATTTATAAGTTTATTATGATTAATACGTTTTTCTATCTTAATCTAAGGATACTCTTCTCCAAATCCATAAAGTGCATGTTTACCTAAAAAAGAAACAAATTAATAATTTTATACATCTGTAATTATGATAAGGATTGCTTGACAAACTAAAACGTCTTATTCACGGTCTATCTTGCTGTACGTCCCGCCAAGGTCATGCACAACGCACGACGCAAAAAGCCATTGAATAGGCTTGATGTATGTCGACGTACAGCAGAACGGACCGTGTATAAGACGCTTTACTTGACCAAAGCTACACTATAGCTAATGACAGTAACCTCCACATGAAATAATCACACCGTCACATTACTAAAGTACTTAATACTAAGAATAGTAAGATTCCAAGACTTATTAAGCACTAAAGTGATCCATTTTAACTCTCAGGAGTGCATCTTGATCTAACTATGGATCTTTGTCAGATCTTGGTCAAACTAGGTGACAGTAAGTCCTTAGTTGAAGTTGCCACATTTATCTTTATCAGATTGACTGTGTATTTGTTGCTTTTACTTTTAGGCTCCAGTTCATTTTTATATTTTGGATTTTCAGCATTTAAGTATCTATTTTCTGTATTAACTGACAGTTTACATTTATAACATGTACTCTATTTATGTTAATATGTGTGGTTTATTATAGACTAGAATTTATAAAAAAAAAATTGAAACAGCACATCACCATAACCAGTCATCAAAAACACTTCTTATTCTGGCAGAAGTATAGACCTAGTAAAATAACTAAGTAACTTTTGGAGATACTGTATTACATATAATATGTAAAAACACTCAAACATCCTGTACAATCCGAAAGCTAGCGCAAAAACATTACCAAAAAAAATTAAAACAAAATTATTAATAAATATAAAAATATTATTGTTATTTAAAATACATTTTACAATGCTACAATTTGCTAAGAATTCAGTAAATTTTTAAAATGTGGCATCACCTTTGATGGCAATGGTACTTAATAATCTTTGACTGAACATGAAATTTTTACCCACAGACCACCTTCACATCCATGTAAATTTCCCCATTTAATTAAATTTAATTTTCGTGTTGTAATTTTTATATATTGTCTGAAATATTAAACATGTACAGAGAGATATCACAATGCCCTCTGTAAATACTGTCATGAACAAGAAGGGGTTTTTATACATATTGTACGTATTAAAAAATAAAAACGAAAAGAAAGAGAAAAATTTTGATTTTAAAACTAGTAATAATGATTACTTTACTTTTTAAGTAGTTGATGACGAGTGATGAGGAAAGGAGCTCCCAGCCCTGAGCCCACATAGACAATAAACATAGCAGTCAGCTTGTAGCGATTTGCAATATCAAATGGCAAATTCTGAAACAAACATGGGCTATTAGAAATTATTAGTAGAGGCAGTGTGAATATTTGCTGATCAAAAGAGAATAAGTGATTTTTTTTCAATGGTGATTAATATTGATATTATCATGTTTGGTAAATCATCCACAAAAAAATTCTTGGTCTTAACAAGTGTATTCCAATTACAATTAAACTACCTATAAGTATATGTAAATATTTATATTTTAATTTAAAGTGTACTATAAAAAGTATGGTAAATTCAATTTACCATGCTTATTAAATTTATAATAATAATGATTTCTTATATTTACGCGAACACTACACATTTTTAAATAAAACTAATTTTACGGATTTTATCGCGTATATTAATCTATTTTTATATTCCCGACGTTTCGGGTGCTTTCCAGCACCCGCGGTCACGGGGGACTGAGGTGTTTGACGTCCTGCTGTCATAGTTAGCCCGGCTACCTTCAGTTTTTTAATATTAATTTTTGGTCCGATTTACGCAGAATGAGCTTACAGTATCTTGAAGTCTAGCAGTGGTATACTTGGGTTTGGATTTGTTGATTTTATTAATTATGGGATCCCAAGCAGATGGCAGACCCATCCATCTTCTCTATTGAAATTAGGATGTTTTTTAATTTCAATAGCCTCGCGAATCATCCTTGGGAGGAATCGGTGTTCTTTTGCGAGGATTTGTGGTCTATCAAATCTAATGTAATGGCGGGGACGATCTTGAACATGTTCACAAACTGCAGACTTCCCGATACGTCGGTGCTTCACGTCAGCTGTATGTTCTTTAACGCGGGTTTTAATAGCATTATAATACTCATATTAGATATCTAATATGAGTAAATTCTGAATTCACATATAATTATGTATTTCACTAGAGAATTACATTATGAACAATTCACAAAAATTATATGATAAACAATGAGAGCTAATAATTTTCTGCTCACCAGATGTCGCTAGTTGACACTGAGGTAAAGTTTTTTTGTTACACAATGTAATTTAATTGAGTTGTTTTTTAATAAAAGTTTATCAGTTTCTAGAGCATTATATTAATACACAAAACAATGCATCAGTCGTTTGCGCTTTTATATTTTTACACTTTTATTTCTACTACATATTTTGAATATCTGTGGGTTTGTTTTTTTTTTAATGTTTAATATAAAATATAGCTAATAGTACAGAAAGAAACAATAACTTTTACATTTTCCGAACAAATTAACTTCCCCGCTATGAAATCTGTCAAATATTATATCTCACTTTCTAGTGGCGCCGCCCTGGTGGCAGAAAAAGTCGTGGATGCCCTCATTAAATTGCATTTTTTGTTATAGTTAAGTTTATGTTTTTAAATTTATTCTTGTTTTTCCACCTGCACCTACCAAAACTATCTCCTTTTCCTAGAGAATGTTATTCGATTTTCATGATTCAATGACGAAACAATTCAATGCAATTTGCCCACATGCTGGGCAGTGAAGGAAAAATCATGAGGAAACCTCCTTATCTGAGTAATAAAAATATATTGATGATATATGGAGCATCATGGCAGCTTAATTGCTCCAGGATTCTAACTTAGGAGGGTACTTTTTACAAGCTTTTATATAACTTGCAAAACTATGTTTATTTGGGTGGAATCTTGCGACTCAATTTTGAAGCAGATATCTTCAACCAATTGAACTTTTGTATACACATTTAGTTTGGATGACATGACATGGTTAGCTGTGTAACGTCATTTTAAATCCAACATGGCGGACTAGTTACTTTTAATGTACTCCTACAATATGGTATCAAATGAAAGGACATGCTGAGAATATTCATGTGAGTTAAAAAGAAATAAGATGTTGATCATAACCTAAATGTAGGTTATGATCAACATCTTATTTTTTCCAACCCGTCTGAAAATAGCTAGACTATTCAAAATTAACCAGAAAACGACCTTGCAACAATGTGTTGAATGAGATGAACAGACTGAGAAACCTGTCCAGCAATAACTAAAAATTAAAAAATAAAGTTTATCTAAGTTGATTGCAAAAGTTTATTTTATTCTTTTAAGCGCATTTAAATAAAAGCTTGTTTTTAAAGTTTTTTTTTACTTTTAATCTATACTAATATAATAAAGTGGAAGAGTTTTTTTGTTTGTTTAAACGCGCTAATCTCTGGAACTACTAGTCTGATTTAAAATTTTCTTTTTGTATATTATAGCCAGATTCATGTGGAATAGTATAGGCTATCTAGCATTAAGCTAAATCACTCAGCTAGCCTTAAATGTGGATATATGTTAAGCAAGTCAGAAGAAAAAGCACTCCCAAAATGATTTATCCGTGTACGCTGGTGTTATTGTTAGGGATACGTATATACAATGTTCTAAAAAAATAGAGATATTTACTCCGTCTAAAAAGAAGTCTGCGATACCATATGTCTATTTCTTATACATAAGCCATAATTAGGTAGTTTGTGACAAAAAAATATTGAAAATTAAAAAGAGATATATGAGTGTTATTATTAGGCACGGTTTATTTATCCTTACGAACAAAAGTTACTTCATCATCAAGAAAATTTTATGAAGATAAACTTTGTTCCTTATACCATGTTATTTGGACACATAGTTTAAGAGAAGATGTAAAATTAAAATAATTTACTTGGCTGGGTGAGCGAACGACGCATAAACCCTAGCCGCCTGGTGAGATCTGCGAGAAGCCAGTATTGAATGAAAGCTTCTATGAGTGAGATTAGTTCAATCATTATAGCTAAAATAAATTAAAAATTAATTGAGTACTTTTATGACAATGATTAGTTACATCTTTATTTCTGAACTCTTTCACTTCACGTTGCTATGGTATTTTGAAAATTTTATTGATTAATAAGTATAAGAGTTTGATAGCAAATTTATCATGAATCATTTCGTGCCTACACACTTTTCATGTATTGTATACGGTTTTCTTTAAAAGTGGATAAAATGCGCTTCGGGACACTTTCTGGGACATAAGGGGAGGGGGGACACGCTCAAACGGGAAGGGGAGGGAAAGTGGATAAACCTTAACTTCGCTCTACATCATACATTATATGCCGACAGATAAAAGTACTTCATTAATTGTGCCAATTTTTTCATACATAGCTATCAAATAAAATATTTAATTGCAATTATAAAATACTTGAACTAGGTGTCATGTCATATCGCGCACCTCGGACACGTGATGACGCGGGTGAAATTGCAGGGCACAGCTAGTTTATTATACAATAATAAGGAAGGGTAGATATTTTAACAAAAACAATTGAGTGACAAATGCTATAAGTTTATGTTCATAGTCGGGCAATTATTAAATTTGATGTTTAAATTTAAAAATAAATGACTATCAATTGAGAAATCATGAAAGGAAAAGCAATTAATTTGAAATCACAATGTTTGCAGCATAAACAGGTGGGTACAACTGGAAAAGGACCACACTCATTAAATACCAGCATGACATAGAAACTTAATACTGCTGTGGTTCGCATGGTGAGTGCAAAGAACCAAATACCATATGAGGTATTGGGTGTAGAGGCATCTATCTTTATCTTCAGATGTGAAAATTGATTTTAAATTTTGAAACTGAATCAAAGATAAATGAAAGTGTCAAGGGGCCACAGCATCTACTAAACTTAAGGTAGATTGTGTGATCTATTGTCACCCTTATTCTTCTATAGAAAAATCCATGCCGTGAAAGATTTTACTTTAAAAAAAATCAGTCATATCGGTTATATAACCTCGGAGATATAGTGTAATATCTATTAAAAAATATAGTCGAATTGATAATTTACATCTTTTTCTAAATAGTTTATAAACAATAATTATTGGCAAAAATATAACCAAATTGATAAATTAAATTTAAAATCTAGTTAGTGTAATAATTATGCGATATATAAAAAGAAAGAAGCATGAGCAAAATGTAGTATGGTTAATCCTGAGTGTAAAACAATATTGTATGTTCATACGATAAAAACATGACGATTATGTAATAACTAAAATTTTGAAATTAGAACTTACCTCGCCAGGTACTCCACCATGGGAATGATTTCTAACAAAGTTAGTGATAACATTTCTGCCCAACTTATTGGACATGCGAGCCAGTGGAGTCATCATTATTAGACTTTAAATATCTGTAATTCTCCGAACTATAATGTATTCTTTGCTTCTAAAAAATTCGATTTTCGGAGGTTCTAGTTATGTGGTAGCTTTTTTAATGAAAGTTACTACTGTGTTCACAAAAATATGGTAACAATTAGTAGTTTTCAATAACATGAACGCATTCATTATGTATTTTTAGTGAAATTACAATATTAAAAATCTGAATAGGTATAATAAAACAAAACATAATTTTATACTATTTATTCAGTTTTTAACGTTTATTTAAAATGATATTGTAGATTATGCACTATATTTGTTCCATTTCTGACAATCCACTTGAAACCTTTGATTTGCACCCACTATAGATCAAAGCTTCAAAGTAAGTACCTGCAATGTTATTATACTAAAATGTAATTACCGATAGAATGTTTATAGAAGATAGAATACCCCACAATAGAATTCTATCAGTGGGGATAATCGATGAAAGGGATAAAAATAAATTATAAAGAATGATTTAATGCTGGAAGTATACGATAGTCCAATCGCCCAAGTCCGAAGCTCAAAGTCAAGCATTCACCTCATAAATTAAAATTTTATTAAAATTTATTGGGAAGTTCACCCTCAACCTGTGCGAATTTTTCCGAACCACCAGACCGGACCTCCGTGTAGAATTAAAAAAAAAAACGTGTGCAGTTCACACCACCATAGACATAGGTACACATGGTAGAAGGGAAATCTTCAGAAAACTTCAGAATTTCGAGAGAATGAGAGGAATGCAGAGTATCAGGAGTACGATAACTGTAGGGTTTATTTATAATAATATTGATACCAAGTTTATATTATACATTTAATATTCTAGATAATAAGAAACATAGTATATTGTATTCTATCTCTATAGACTAAATCTTATGGATGTATATGTTTGTCTCTTTTCGCTTTTTTGTTCCATCGAGTTGTTTTAACGATTCTAAAGAAGTTTTACTTCCAAAAAGATATCCGAAATCGAAGATATATTATCACTACATCAGCGTACAAAGTTCCTTTATTGGGACCAGCCAGTGGAGCTGCGATAGCTGTTGCTCATTTACCACCCGCTCGGCGGAAATTTCTGAGGTTTAAAATATTTTGAGAACATGTGAAATCCATTGCGCTGGAATGACACTTCGGATTAAATGCTCCATAACCCTAGAAACACTACTTTTTATTCTAAATTTAATTAGCGAAAGGTACAAGATCTATCGATCAAGAGAATCTAGTATCGTCTATTCATCTGTCAAATGTGACAATTAGGGTATTCCTCCCTATAACAGGAGACACCCATGTCCAGCGGCTCATGATCAAGAAAAAGAAAAAAATAATTAAAAGAAATACATAAATTAGACTATGAGTATTTACAGAATTTGTTTTTTGCGCTTCTACCCATTAAATATTTTTATTGAATAGTTGAAAACTTCGACGATCATGTATTGCTAGCATAAATTGGAATATTAAAATGTGTCATGTATGTACTTACCGAATCACTTCTTACGAAGCTGATGCAGCACAATGAGAAACGGTGCCCCGAAACCAGTAGCCCCATACAAAAACATATTTAAGGTAAAGCGAGTTTTGTTGTGGATGTTAAATGGCAAATTCTGAAAATATAAATTGTGATTTAAATAGTCAGCTTATGTAGGTAATTTGTAAAAGCTTACTTATATTTAAAATGAAAAACTAGCAGTTAAATGCTAGTATATCTTATTACGTCTGGCAAATTCGAAATGGTACACAGCTATCTATCTAAGACCATATAGCTTTTCTAAAAGTTCTTTTCGCTTTATAAAAGCCGTTACGACAACCGCGTTATGAAATGGTATAATAGTTTCTGTTACGCCGCCACTATAAAACAAAAATGTATGCAGGGAATAAAATGACAATTGATGATTGGTGTAACATGACGAATGATTTTTTCAAAGTTATTCCATTATTTTCTTTTAGGGGAATATTAAATAACAGTATGTACATAGGTGCTAAAGTAATTTAATAATAAACTTTAAAATCAAATTATTAATGATAGGTTTCATGCTTCTGTGAAGACCATATTTAAGAATGGGATTGCTTTCCATTTTTATTTTATTTTTTATTTAATGAAAAAAATTAATATAAGTAACATTATTGAAAACATTTTGATTCGTGTATTAAATCTACCAATAATGTTTTACTTTAACACCCTATTTTGACACATTTAAATAAAACTATGTAGTTTTACGGATTTTATCGCGTATATTTAGTTATTTTATATTCCCGGCGTTTCGAGTAATTTACAGAATTCATGGTCACGGGGGACTGAGGTGCTTGACGTCCCAATTTCATAGTTAACCACGGCTACCTCCAGATTAAAAATTATTAATTTTTTTTGTTCCGATCTACGCAGTATGAACTTACAGTATCTTGAAGTCTTGCAGTTGTATGCTTGGGTTGGGATTGAATTTTATTAATTATAGGACCCCAAGCAGATGTACCTACATCCAAACTACTACCTACCTACTACCATCTGTTTGCCTAACAAGTGTCAAGATACTGTAAGCTGCGTAGATCGGAACAAAAAAAATATTAATCATTTTTAATCTGGAGGTAGCCGTGGTTAACTATGACATTAGGACGTCGAACACCTCAGTCCCCCGTTTACCATGGATGCTGTAAAATACTCGAAATGTCGGGAATATAAAATAACTTAATAAGGGCGATAAAATGCCTAAAAACCAGTTTCATTTGCGTGACAATTCTTCTTTATATAACTTAAAAACATAGATATTATAAACAGTCAGTGCTTCTGCTTTGCTTTCAAAACTCTTGCCTCTTTATTTTTCTTTGTTTTTTAGTAGTTAACAGGTAAGAATCACATGGGTCAGATCAGAGAAATATGCTAGAACTATAGTATAAGTAGATACATTTGAACTCGATAGCTGCGAGAGTATTTTCACCAGATTCTTAGCATTTCTCTTTTCAAATTCATCATTAAATATTTACTGTTTTATCAGTGGGAGGTGTGATAGAATGTTGTTTAGAATAAGAGAAACCTAATTAAAGTTTACATAGTAGAGTCATGCTGCTGCTATTTGTATTTGTAGTATAGTTGTAGCACGAATGGGTCAACTCGACCGGGGAAGTACCACGCTCTCTCAGAACACCAGCGTAAAATAGCAGCTTAACGCTGCTGTGTTTCGTGTGTTGAATGTAGAGAACCAGATACTCTTTTAACTTGAAACGACTATTTTAGTGCTCACGGGTAACATTTCGATTCGTAATCGAAGATAGATGTAGACGTATGTGGGTCACAGCAAACACCATCAGGTGGCCTGTGTGCTCGTTTGTAACCTCTATTCTATAAAAAAAGGTTTTAGTAAAAACTAGAACGCCTCTTATTGACACTTTTCTACATGACACTTGCTTGTACAAACAAAGGAGTAGAGTGTGGCTTGATGGTGGCGGCGTAAGAGATCCATCACACCACTTCGTCCCATGAGTTTTGAAAAATTCTAGGAAATGATTGAAAGATCTCATGGCTTCCGATATATATATATATATATAATTAATATTGTATTTCGCTTATGTGTACATCAAGGCACGGTTAAGAGTAAGTTCGGATGTAGGTACATTTGTGGCACTATAATATTTCCTACAAAGCTAAGCTTCTGGTTATTCAGAAGTTATCGCTGTTGTTACAACTTGACCAGAAGAATACCATCATTGATAACTTGACCAAAAAAAACTGTTAATACCTACAATAATAGTTCAATATTTTACCCCCAAAAACAGCATAATGCTAACTCGTAACTGTGCCATGCTTCTTAAGATGAGTGATCACAATGGAAAATCTGTTATTTCACATTAAGGTTAATTAAGCATGAATACTAAGTACTAAGTAACTAACTAATAATTTGAAGGGCCATAAAATCATTGCCCTTAAGAAAATTTCTTAAGAATTAATAAAATGTTAATATTATGTAATGTAATGCGCATGGTTTATTCAGGCACTTTGCAAAATACATAATATAAAAGTCTATATACTATAAAATATAGGTTGCAGTTACGTAATTAAATATTATCTGCTTACCTCTCCTGGTACACCACCATGCGATCCGTTTCTTATGAAATTTTTCATTACATTTCTTCCTAATCGGTTAGAAATCTTAGAAACTGTACCAAACATTTTAATTTTTTCAATTATATCCTATACCAAATGGCCAGGTATGAACGATGAGATAAGATAAGGACATACGCAACTTTCCTTTATCGATACGTTACCTAGCTTCAATACTGATAAAAACTTAAAATACATTGGTCGATATAGATATTGATGAGTTTGTCTATAGTTGAAATGTAATCAAATTAACTGAAACCGTTTTTGTAGCTTGGTCAAAAATTCACAATTTAATAGTTAACACGTCAAATTTTGAGCAAAATAAAATTGTACTCATCATAAAGTTTATGTTGCTGGTGTATAAATGTATAAATGTTTGTTTTGCAAAAGAGAGCCGTAGGGGCGATTTATAATCTAAATTGTAAAGTTTTAACAGTGGTAGAGCCACGCGGCAGCTTTTGCTGTCGCACGGATGGGCCGGCTCGAACCGGGGTGGTATCACGACCTCACAGAAAACCAGCGTGAAGTAGAGGTTTACCTCTGCGTTTCGCTTGGTGAGTGCAGGTGGCCGGAGGCCCTTTTTACTGGAATGTCAATAATATCAAGGAATACATGAATGAAAATAACCCCTGGGAATAAGGTGATCGCCACCATGCTGGTTCTATGAAAATTCATTTAAAATTGTATAAACAAAATTATTGTTAAGTGAAATTATGTTTAAAAAAAAGTCCCGCTGGGTTTCTTGCTGGTTCTTCCCAGGACAGAGGTATTTTCCGAACCAGTGGTAAATAAAATAATGACTTTCAATAAGTATTATGTAATAATCTATATTGAATAAAAATCATTCTATTCTATTCTATTCTATTCTATAAATGAACTATACAGGGTTATT